AAAATAGTAATGTACACATGCGTAACTAAAATAGAAAAATACCAGAATTGTATTATTATATTTAAAACACATAATAACTTTTTTCAAAATATTCTTTTTCTGAATTTTCTGATATAATATTATATTTTATAAATTATTCATAAGCTATACAATTTCCATAACTACAGTTACACCGTGTATAATAATAGTCAATTATGGATAGACCCAAAGACATCAGACAAAATCTAAAATTACACGAAAATAGCTGATGTAAGTAAAAAAGAGGTAGCCAGATAAGAGACAAAGTTAAATAGGGACATATGATAGGATCAGCCCCTTATAGTTGGGAGTAAAGAGTGAAAAATAAAAAGAAAGAGCAGTAGAAAATATATTATAATAAAAAACTAAAATGATTTTGAATGAATACCTCAAATTAAATGCAATACAGTTTTGGTATTTTAATCAATTGTAAAAAAATAAACTAATTAACTTATACAAAGTTTTTACCATAAAATCTCGTCTAAAAATTAGATTCACAAATTGGCTATTTTGAATTTTTATTTTCGTATTAAAAAAAAAACGTTATGTAGTATTTGTAATATTATGAAAGTATGAGTTATTAAAAAAAAGTTTAAATATTGATTTACAACAAAAGTTATTTCATTTGTCAGGTTTTTCTGCTATAGCCTGGATATGAATTCATTTTAATTCTTAATACAAGGCAATAATAGTACATACAACATTTGAATGAACAAGTTTTATTTTTCCTATGTTTTATGTTTTAAGGACGCATTATTATTATAAATTGCATATACTATATAGGTTTGTTTAAGTTAATATTTCAAAAAATTTTCATTATTATCAAATTCGAGACCGGGTCATGAGTAGCCTATATTACCTATTTAATCTTGCAACTATAACCAAATGATCACAATACACTCTGAATATATTATAAATTCGTACTCAGATATTTGTATGCATTTATTTTTTGTGATCATTAACCAGATGGATCATTGAAGATAATAACAAATCAATAAGACAATTTCTATACAAAAACCAAAAAATGCCTATGAAACTTTTTTCTTATTAATTTTGAATTCTATTTTAATTAATGTAAAATTAAAAAATCAAATTGAAATATTAATTCACGGTAAATATTGTGATAGGTATACCATTATTTAAATGATTGGGATTAAAATATAATTTGTTATATAAACATACAATCAAAAAAATTAAAAAATTAAAAAATTAAAAAATAAATATATTTAATATAATATTAATTAAGTGTAGGGTTTTATAGGTTTCACATTTCGGCATGTCAGATATGTGCGTGATATATTTCTCTTGCAATTTTATAATATTATAATATTTATAATAAACGAGCCCGTCACGCAATTCCCGTACAGAAAAACTCGTAATTTGATATTTTACCGACTATATCGGAAAAATTCCAAGTCTCTCTAATGGTTATAGGTAAAAAAAAAAATGCATAAATAATAATATACACACTCACACGATCACACTTAATATATGTATATTATACAATATTACACACTGTATACATTCAGAACAGATGGAACCTATCAAACAGTCGTTTATCTGGCCTGTACGCTCGGTTAACGTTTAATATGTACGCGTGGATCGTATATTAATAAAATAGATTGACAGTAACGTCCTGTTCTGTGGTACGTTGGCAGATGAGATATTGATCCGAAAACGGTATGTACCTCTCTAGACCCCCCCCCCCCCACGCGAATCCATGACTCGGGGCCGCAATCCTCAACCACCCCCGCCGGCCTACCCGTCGACTCCATAACATAATTGTTGTATATTATAATATATACAGGTACGCGGTACATCTACTTTGGCGATATTAACTGTTATTAATGTAAAATATATAGCCACAATATTAATAACTGTCCTCAAAGAATAAAATGCCTAATACTGTTATCTAATTATCAACAATATTAATGATGATCGTCGAACAACTTTGTGCGTGACAAATGATATGAAACTGTTGTTTACAATTTAAATATTGAATGCATTATTATGAAATATAACTTCGTAGGTATCCGTACTGAAAAATAAAATAGCTGATTTATATTGTTTTATTATATGCGGATTAAGTAGATATTTAAGCACGGAATTAAATGTCCGGTGAACATTTTCTACAAAATAAGGAGAAAATATTACATACTGTCAAAACAAAATACATTTGCTTATGATATTGTACTTTTTCCAATCACACCTATGTGCATAAAAATAAAAACTACCAAAAATAGAACGCACAAAATATAATAGTATCTACCTGTAAATATTTTTAACACCTTTAAAAAAAAAACGTTAGAAAAAAAGTTAAATAAATAGCAAAAATAGAAAAAACCTCCATTCAACGCAGGCGTATTATGCAAATATCTAGACCCTTTAAATTTCCTACTTGTATTTTATAGGGTAGTAACTAGTAAGTAGTAAACAACCATTTTACCTTCTACGATTTTTCGGTAAATATTGTTAGATTAAACCAATCGTTCATTATGACTTTGGGAAAGTTTCGATACAGGGAAATAATTATTTATCTCACAAATCACAATGCTTAAATTCTAACGATGATGCTAATAATATACTTGAATAAATTAGATTTTAGACGCATATGATTATAATATATTTTTAATCGTTTTATCCGCGCATTTTTAGCAACACTGCAATACATTCAGCTGAAAAATAAAAACGCAATAATAATCGTTACCGTTCTGTACACCCACCAGTAGAGCAAAATTTATGACCCACCCACACCCCTACCACACACCAACAGTAATTAAAATACCCTACTACGTGATCTTGATAAAATCCTCGTAAAATGAATTTCGTGTGACATATCTCGTATATGAGAATGTCATCCATCCCACTCCTCTCGCTCGCTATACATGTGACACTGATATACACAATGCACTCATATGCCGGATGAACATACAATTTTACAAAACGTAAAATGTTTAGTGAAATGCTTATGCTTTTTCTTTCGGTTGTCATCGATACACTTGTCACTTTACACGCGATATACTGCGATTTGCTCGTTGGTTTTTTATTTCAATGTTCGTATCATATCATATAGATCTTTATTTTCATTACAAGTACACACGTCATCGCTGTTACCATATTATTATCGCCATACCATTCATTGTAAATTAATAATTTACATATCCGGGCTATCCTTGTAGGTAAGAATCAAATTTTATGCTATAGTTAACCAACTTAAGTTTAATATAATGTCTATAATATTTAAATTTCTATGTGTTACAATTTAAAACTATGATGGCTGGAATATGTATCTATAAGCATTGGTCCAAATGGTGTGGCTTTAGCAACATAAAAAGTTAACGTGCAGACAAGGTAAATAAATAATATGTATATATGTAAAAGTATATATTTAAGTATTCGAGAAATGAGGTGTCAATAGATTAATACAGACATGAGAACATTTTCAGACCTGTATAAATGTAATAAAAATACGTCAATAGTTGAGTGAGAATATTTTACTGAAATTAATAGAAACAATAAAGGCTTTGCAGAGGGACTTGAAAACGGTTGTGATGATCATAAACATAGACTAATCGAAGATAATTTGAGAGATTTAATTGCACACAATTCTCGATTAAATGTGTAACATTTGCAAGCACATTAAGTAATTGATTACGTGTAATTTATATTATTTATAACTATATTAAGATATTTATTGATATTTTCCTTTGCACATTTATGAATTATTGTGGATTTGTAATACATTTTATTCGATTTAATTTATATTTAATTAGAGATTTATTTTTGATTTAGTTTATTCATTTCAACACTATTATTATTATTATTAATATTACGTTCTCATTTGTTGTGTGAATTATCCGGATGCCGACAAATGGAATCATGTCATCCGTATATTGCCGTGCAATTCAAAATAACGATTGAAATTTCAATCGTACTTGCAGTATTTATGTCGAATTATCACGTCTATCGTGGCTAATATTTGACGGAATACTTTTATTAAATTTTGAAACTTGCAATTTGCGTTCAACAAAAAGTATTATAGATGAATAACAAAAGTACATTTGGTAGAATATATATAAGCACCAAGATCTTCCCTCAAGCTCGCTATATTTATGAATTATGATATTCAAATTTCAAACTCCTATATCATTATATGTACATTTGAAGGGTACCTACCTATTTTTTAAAACATTTTATTGAGTTTATTTATTTTTGATATTGGTACTTCCTTAGTTATAGTTTGCGTTTGCTACGATCAAACAACGTTCAAAAATCACACCTATGACGTATTATAAGGTTAATAATTCGTTTAACATCAGTTATTATCTATCTATCTATATATATATATAGAGAGTTTATATTATATTATATAATATTATCGAATCGTCTGTTTGGTAATAAGTCTCTATCTATAAAGGCATAAAATAATGACTCCCACATTATGATACACCATATAAAAACACAAATCGTGTATTTAAAACATATCGACCATAAAAAATATAATCAATGGTCTAAACACCGAAAATTGAAAAGGTATTTTACATTTATACAGCTATAAATCGCAAGCGACGTAATAAAACTATTATACTTAAAAGATAGGAAGGCAAAAATCTTTTTTAAAATACATCTAAAACGTTTGACATCAAAATAATATACAGTACACACACGTTATTTGGTTCAATTGCACATAATATTATCATTATTGCATTAAAAAATTTGATTTGACCATAAGAAAATATGTATTTGTGTATAGTAATATTATCATCAAATAAATTATTCAATGTACGTATATGGTTTTAGTTTACACTTAACGTCTTAACGCATTGTTGGACTCTTAAGCTACATTTGCTATTCTGACTCGGACTTGTAACAGATTTTTCATGGGAAACTTCATGACGTAGGACAAGCTTTAAAACCATTGGTACGAAAACGCCGTCTTATATATAATACATTTATGCGATTGACGAAGAACTCGTACTCACTTTTCTTGTACAGTAGTCGAGTTGACGAGAACGACATTGCAACGGATAACGACGGTACGGGACGATCATTGCTGTTCGTGTCGCGATGCTGCGAGTGTTCCGACTGTGGCGGCGGCGCGCATGTTTCAAACGGCCGGCGAGTTACGATGACGGTGTGCACGGTGCGACCCGTTTGCCCGGCGGAATTTATCGCTAGCGGGTGCAGGCTGTCGTCACGGCGGTGGCGGCGTCCGACTGTCTTGGCTCGGGCGGCGGGTCAGCGTATCGTCGCAGACTTGCGTTCAGCAGGCGCGTAAGTCGTGGCGGCGACCGCGACGGACTGGTGTTGCACACGCGTCGTACGCGGCGGCGATGGCGGCGGCGGCGGAGGCGTCAACTCCGAACGACATCTGTACCCGAACACGAGAGGCCCACACTGAGCGGCCCCGCTTTGAATCCGACGAGCGTGTTAACAACAAAAACGGAATGATCAATATTTCTGCCCCTATTGGCGCGCGCGGCGGATACGTCACGCGCGCCCCGCGGCCGCCGGGAAGAAAAACAAATAATTTACTCGCCGTAGAGCCGTGCGATACGATAAACGGTACATTTTTATCTAATTTTTCGTCCGATCGAGACGTGATTTTTGCACCGTCGATTTATCCCCCGGTCTCGGCCAAAGGTTAACGATTGATTCCCTGCCACCCACTCACACCCCGAGCACACCCGGCATACAGGGTGATTCGCCAAACATCTTATTATATACCATCAAACGCACTTAACCTTTTTTTGTTCAGTGTTATCAGTTGATCAATTGTTTTTTTTTAATTGCCCGTGTACCAACTGAATCCGGACGAGTGGCTTTCGAGTCATTAATAAACCGTCACTGGGTGAACAATAAAGATAAAAATATTATTATAGGCCAATTATCATGATATAGGTTGGCCAGGTATATTACGGGAGCTATAAATCTGATGACGATTTGAATGTTATAGGAATTAATCTATTCAAATTGTATTACTTGTAAAAATTCTTTGAGAGGGTATAATAAGTAGATAGGTATAAGTATAGGTAATTAGTAATTACTATATAAAACTAAAATATTATACTACTTACATCGTTTTTGTATTTCATATTGTAAAAACTGTTATTAATAATAATATTATTGTACTGTAGGTTCGTGTATTTTAATAACTCCTAAGCTACTTATTCGGATTTCGATTTAGTTCCTTTAATTTTAGAGTTTAAAATTATCTCTTTAACAATTATTCACAGTAAAAAGGGTGGTTCTCATTAGAGGAAAAGAACTTTGCACCTGATAACATTACGGTTCGTAAGTATAGATAAAAATTCCAAAAATCAGAACATTATTGAAGGATAAAATATAGTGAGCATACTTGGCTTGAACCACTCTGTATAACAGTCAAATGCGTTTAAAAAGCTCCAAGCCATACATAATGTATTGTATTGTACATTTTACACTCATAATTATATTATATACTTAATATGTTATGCTCAGAACAGGGTTTTCGTCGATCAACAGTTATTATTGTATTATTAATATACATCGACCGAACAAATAATACACGTGACCCTACCACCCACGACCCACCATTCATAATTCACCAATTACATCGCTCCCCGACCGCAGAACGAAAATATTAATATACCTAATAATGTGCAGCCTATAAAATGTATATTATTATAACTCTGAAACTCTTCGCCGGGACTCCCGTTTCCGCTTTTTACTTTTCGCCGTCCCTCTAACGTTTCCGACGAGACAATATGCACACGCAAAGCTCCTTTCCGCTCCTTATCCCACTCCTTATCAGCTCGTTTCCGCTCGTTTCCGTCAGCGCAACGGCACTCTGTTTCATTTCCATACCGTAGGCCTACCCCCCCCCCCCCAGCGCCGTACGACACACCACACACATCATCATCGGCCGGCCACACTGCCAGTCCATCGACGAAAATAGCCGATTTCGATTTTTGATGAGACGCCGACGCGACCGGTAGAATGCGCTTAGGTCGTGACGTCGAGCAATGATATAGAGGCACTCGCGCGTTCGGCGTGGCGCCGCCGCCGTCTGCGTTATAATAGACGATCGAGCTTGAAACGTCTCTTTTTTTTCCCCCGATAAACGTCACAATTTGCGCCTCCATAGTAGGTAGATACGATCGGTCTCGAAGGCCGATGCACATCTTAATTATGATAATAATTTGATGACGGGCGCACGGCGGATTCATGGTATATTATAAAATGTTTACTTCCACAACCCTTATTGCACTCGCCGGGCAGCAAACGGTTATACAATTCATTATAATATATTATATTATTATATTTGTATGTAGAACGTGAAACTCGTAATATGACATTCGCATGTCGTTGAACTCGTGATTTTTTTTATGATACGGAATAACGACTGCAACGAGTCGATAGGAATAGTGAAAAACATGAGCGGGAAATTATTTTTTAAGACAGATTAAACATTATTAAGCACATACGACTGGAGCGTCTGAAACACGACGTATCAACAACATTATGATCAACTTAATCTGTCATATTTTGATAAATCACCTATGGCCGCCAACACTTCTACAGTTTATATAGTAAACGCATTAATAATAATTTTGATTAAAATAAATACCTATACTTATTTCAAATTTGGTATCCATTCTAAAAACCAACAAAATATGCCTATTTAGTATTTAGCATGCTTCGTACAAGTTTAGGAAAAAAAATTGAGCTCTTGTAAATTAAATTAATATCAATTGTTAGAGTTGGATATAATGATGAATTTATTATTAACCCAAGGGCGTAGTTAAATAATTAGTAAGTTAATCAAAATTGATTTTTCTACCATTGGCATTTAAAAAAAAAGCCCATTAGGTACCTGCAGAATACATTAAAAATATAAATAGTTGTCAAACTAATATTGATTTTGTTACTGTGCAACTACTGAGTTACGTGTTTAAATAATTGTATGCTATTATAAAAAAAGTTTCCGTCAAAAATAAGATAATTTAGTTAGATTATCTCCAAGTACCATACAAATACCATACCTTTATATTATTATATGTAAATACCAATCAACGCTAAAACATCTAACATTTTGTGTTCCGTGCAAATATAACTAAAATAAAATTATTCGTAATGTATAGTTGTTGTTAACAATTTATTAAACAATCCACTTTTAAGTTTTTTTTAGCCCAGTCATCTAATTTCGTTTGTAAAATTGTTAGTCACTAATTATTAATTTCTTCAACATCGTTAGCGCGTAACTTATAAATGGGAGAAGGGACATATTACGATCGGACTTAGGATTTGGTATTCGAACTGTTTAGTTATAGTACCTACCTAAACATATCTTGCGACCTTCCTAACCGAGCTTGACCTTTCATACGTATGAATAATAAAACCCTCATTATTATGTTTATAATTACAATTATTATTTAATAATATTCGTATCTATATGCATTGATAAAGCAAAATTTAAAACTATTTTTCTTCGACCTTTTGGATCTTGGTGACACCTGTTAATGGCCATTACAATACATATTTTACCTGTTTTTGAATTTTAGGTGGAAATATTTCAAAGCGGATTTCAAAAGTAATCTTGATAGTTCACGAAGAAGGCAAGCTACATATTTGTAACAAAAAAAATTTTAAAATGTTAAATCTACATATAACTGCAGCTGTTATTTAAGTGCTGTTTTTGTTACTCCTGGCATCACTTTTTGGAGCAATAACACACCAGTCCACTTATATTTTAACACGGCCAAAAACCTATAAAATATATTTTATTGAGATTTGGTACGTAACAAAAAATTGTTGACAGATCCTTCATAGACCCCATTTGAAATCAAACATGTTCATTGGAGCCTATTATTCTATTGATATAAATAAATATATTATACTTGTTAATGTGAGAAATACGAACAACATTTATATAATAATAATGACATGTTCCCTATAGATATAGGTAGGTACGAAACTACGAGCCGTAGTCGTAATCGTATGATTTTTAATTGAAAAGAGATTCGTTAGGTTTTTATTTAGTCTCTGTGATTTTAACGGCATGCTGCTTAATAATAATTGGAATAATATGGATCATCGCGTCCATGAACCACTTCGGTCCGCATTTCAATCGCACCAGGGTATTGATCGCATATTCCTGCATACTGTATCATCTCTCTCGATCTCATTCGTCTTATCGTAGCAGTCTATATCGTCATTCGTCCAAGTTTATATAAATATATAATATTTTATATCATAATACTAATATAGTTATACGAATTACGAATAACGATACACGATACACGTAACATGTATATTGTGGTTTGTCATTAATATTGTTATCATAAATTATATTAATAATTTACCTTGCACAATCGTCACACGTGCTCGCTGAGGCCGCCATGAATCATGGGGTTAGTACCTTATACAACCGACTTAAGTATACTTAACGTCATAACCTGTATTAGACATTATAGTATTAGTACCTATACTTAGAGCTATGATCATTAATCCATATTCACATCATATGTTTCAATGTTTGTCGAATTAGTATATTGCAATTTTCCAATACCTATCTTCTACAAACAGAATAATATAATTATAATTATTTTATTGCAAATATTATAATGATTAATAATAATCGAAGATATAAGCTTTATTTAAAAATGCATCTGTATTCAGAGTAGCAATAATTTGTAATGCAGAGTCGGGGTGGAAGAACCGTGCTTAAAGTACCGTCCGGACAAAGTGCAAATGAGCCAAAATAATTTGTATAGATTCAAAGTACAAGTGGTGGGCTAATATGTTAGAGTGGAAACTAAGTTGTACTTATAATATTACACATATATTAATAGCACGAGTTGAGTGTATATTATGTTCCACAGATAACTGTACAATTATATTATATAATAGGTAGGTATACAAATAAATACCTTACGTGCAACTAATAATGTTAAATTATGTACTACCTATTGTATTTGTAATTATATAATATTATCTATGTACATTTTTGTATCATGTTATTAATATATCAATAATAAACAATTATTTACAATGAATACCTATATTATTTTTTTTGAAATGTAATACCTGCTTAATGTTTTTAAATGCAACTGTGTTATTTTAATATAAGTACTTATTTGCACGATTATAGTGTATAAAATGTATTTAAATTATCAATAAGAAAATTAAAAGTATAATAAAGCTGTTTATTTTTAATAATATTTGTTATTATATCTTACTTGTTATCAATTCTCCGATTGATTTACAATTGATTTAAGTTGTGTATTATAATATAAAGATAAAAAAAATCAAACCAAACCAATTGTATTTGAATACAAATGATCTACAATAAATAATGGTAAAATAAAATATCAATTAAGAATGGGAACTACAATTTATAGTTGTAATTAAGTCAACGGTTTTTA